GCTCCGGCGATAATTGCTTCATGGTTTAATCCTCACTACCCAAATTCTGAACTTTAACCCTGGACCAAACATTACTACCCTAAACCTTACCTAACGTCCAATCGCAAAACCTAACCCTTACTCTAAGCCTAGATGTACAGTATACCTTTCATGAAATGAGGATCGAATCAATTTACTAAGGAGTATACCGTATATCAGGGCTTTGTTTCATAAACCTTGATATCTACTACAAGTTTCAATAATTGTTATAAGCTACTAGAATCGTGGCATCTGATTGGCTGAGAGCCAATTTGTCATAGAAATTCAGCATTTGTTATTGATGATGAGTTTTATGAAACAAGGCCCTAGGGGTGTTTCACAAAGATCCTAAGTAGAACTTATCTTTATCAAGTATGGAAAGCTGTAGCATCTTGAAAATATTTTGTAAAAGTTTTTTTTGAAGGCATAAAATGTTGATTCAAATCATTCACATTTTTTTCATTATCAAGGAGATTTCATGTTCTTGCTGTGGAATTCATGAAAAGTCTAAAATACTTGAATTTTTGCTTTTTAATATATTTTATGTTAAGGCTACAAATGGCTCTTCCTAACGTTTAAGTCCAACTTAGAGTTAAGTTCGACTTAGGATCTTAGTGAAACACCCCCTGGTACCATTGTCATCCCATTCCTTACCATAGCTTGGAAAGCAGCCTCCCTGACCCGAGCGTCCCTGTCGCTCGTGAATTCTCCCAGCATCCTCTGCAGATTGCCCTTGCGACGCTCCTTGCCACTCTTTCCCGACGACGACGAGGACGCGACAGATTTGAGGTCGCACATGCCAAGCTGACCAATCATGCTCAAGCTTGCACATCGTACAGCATGGTTAGAATCCGTTAAATGCTTTAATGGGAAAAAAGATATGTAATGATCAAATTACTGGAAAATGTATTTCTAAAAAAGTTTCAAAAGTTTCTTCAGTGTTAAAAATGACATACAGGTATATACTGCACACTGTAAATAAAATATATCTCTGCAAATATAAAATTGCCAGTTGACCTGTGGTTATATCTGCAACTTTGTGGTTACCTTAGTGTATACATGATATAAACATAAATTAGACAGGTAAAAATTAATTTATGAATAGGTAGAATGTATAAAATCAACCTAAAAAAAACTTTACCTGGCATTCCATAAGTAAATGGTTAAGGAGTATGAAGAAAATAAAAGATAACATAAAACCTTGCGTAAAGGGCGCATGAAATCCAAGTCTGACTAGGTTTCCATGCGAATCCTTTTCTATGCGTGTCTGTAAGCACACAAATTACATATTCTACTCAACAAGACATTTAATACTTAAATGGGAGTGTATTTAAGTTGCAACATTTCTCTGTAGAAGAAATATTTTAAAGCCCCACTGCACTACTTATAGCTAGTTGCGCCCTCTATATAGCAAAGAATGCCTTATCTGTGCCTGTTGGTCCCCCATGATCCCCTTTTTCTTTTGTTAATTGAGAGCTGATTTGATGAGATAACAACCTGCCAGTGACTTTGCAGGGAGGTATAATTCCCCCCTGGCCAAACTAGTGCAGACGGGCTTTAAAGCTCATAGATTGACTGCAGTATAACAAAATGGAACCCCTGTAAGACATCAAGAGCAGCACATGATGTTTTAATTGGTACACTTCAAAGCATAAATGTAAGGATTACCTTTTGAGCAAGTTGTACAAGCTGACGGTGGAGATCAGAAGTCAGTGGAAGGCTTCGGCCAATCGCAGTGAGTGTGGTAAATATTTGACCTTTGACCTTGTGAGAACCTGCACAAAGAAACAGTGTTATGAAATCTTAATGTAAATTTAATTATTAAATGAACAATTAATGAATTTTATTCATTTCATGTTTTGGCCAACCATGGCAGCCTGGGTAAACAAAATGAGGTAACATGTAGATGAGAGATAAATAAATTAACAAAATCACACTTTTTTCTCTCTTTTGGTATTCCTATTTCAATCATTTTTATCATAACCCCCAGCCTCCCTCAAAGATTCTTTCTGTATGTTCATAATGTGTTCCTCCAGCTTCCACATCTTGTTTTTTCTCCCTCATCTGGTGCTTTGAGCACTTTTTCCTTTACAGATTTTTAAAATTTAAAATTTTTAAAATTTATTTTTATTTTTTATTTTTTTAATGGGGGGGGGGGGGGGGGGGGGGGCTCTTGTTCATCTAGGGTTGGAGTCTATGGAAATTGTGGATTGATAATAACATTAAGAGTAAAGAGTTCTTGTATAGCGGACATGTCTGTCAAACTTGACACTCCTGTCGTTCCACAATTATTACCCTGCCTTCAGCATGGCTGTCAATTATACGGCACTCTAGCAATTCATGAAATTGATTCCCGCCAGGTACCCATTTTCCTCACCTGGGTCTAGTATGGCAACTGTAGACTCATGTCTTGCCAAAGGACGTTCTAGAGCTCCAGCACCGATTTGAACCCTGCACCTTGTGGTAGGCAATCTGGCGACTTGTCCACTAGACCACAACACCACTATTAAACCCTAATCGAATTCACAACATCCAACCAGTTAAACGGTCCTGTTTACTCCCCCATTTCCATATTCCTAAGTTAACCTGTCATCCCTTTCTCACCTTCTGTATTTAACAGGGTCATCAGGTCATTGGCAATGCCCACAGCATTCACACCTGGGAGTCTTGCAATGTGACCCAAGAGTTCAATGATCTTTGACCTTACATGGGCTCCTTCTTCTTTGCTGTAGTGCTCAAAAAGCGTGTTGATAATACTCTCTGGTTGGAAGAACAAACAAAATGAGTACTGTTGGAGATGAGATTGGCGGAACAAAATGCTTAATTTAAAGACTACATTGATTTGTTTTACCATTATTATTGACCACTTTTCAACTCGGGGCAGAGTTGATCTTAATTGTATCATCAGGCATTTGTATCATTATTTTTTGTTTATAATTACATCCTAATTCATTCACAAAAATGTGCATGGAAATCCAAAATAAACTCAGCCTGAATGTAAAGATGCCTTTTATTTGTAGAATATTAGACTGTCATATATTTAATTGGTTGTACATATTTTAATGTCAAGAATATTATACTCAATACTCGTATATATTACCAACATCACATCAATCAGTATCATTATACTCTATCATCATCGGTAGCAGGAGGAGCATCAGCATCCTCATAACAATTATTACCAGTCACCTCTACCATCAATATCAACATCAAGATCTTCATCATCACTATCATTCATAACCATCACTCTCACCATAATCATCATCACCACCATCATCACCATCTTCACAAACATCAACATCATCATAATCATAATCATCATCATTATCACCATCATCACCATCACCTCAACCACCATCCTCATCATCACTATCGCCTCCGCCACCACAATCATCACCACCACCACAATCTCCACCACCACCACCATCACCATCATCCTCACTATCAAGGTCTTTCCATTTAAATTATTTGATTTCGGCTTTCTGTTCATTCTCACGTTTTACTCTGATGGGTGCAAGACGAAAAGCTTAAGTTTGGCTCTTTTCAACGCGATTTTCCCATCCTCACTATTAATTATCAACATCATTCTCTTCACCATAATCATAATCACCATCATCACCACCACCACCTAGACCAAGACCATCATCATCATTATCACCACTATCATCACCATCATCCCCTCCACCATCACCACCATCAGCACCACCACAACCACCATCACCACCACCACCACCATCATCATCTCCACCACCACCATGATCATATAATGATCACCACTATCATCACTAACATCACCATCCCTTCCACCACCACCACCACCACTACCACCACCACCACTACTAAACCACCACCACCACTACCATCACCACCACCATCACCACCACCACCACTACCGCCACTACCACCATCACCACCATCATCACCTGCAGCATCTTGGCTGACTGGTAACTGATTCTCTAGATCAAGCAGCTGAGTGAGGGCCTCTCTTGAAGTGCCAGCCCTCTGAAGATCGAGGGTGACCTGGGAGGTCTGGGGGCGTGTTACAAGCCTAACCTTGATTGGAGGTGCCTTGGGTTCCTCCTGTTCAATGAAAATAAGTAAAACAAAAATAATCATTTATTCATATTTTGTTATGAAAAGAGACACTCATTTGGTTAACAAAAATAATGGCACAAGGACAAGCCTGTAAGAACTATATTTTCAATAATAGATGTTTAAGACAGTATGACCTTTATATTTGTAAATAACATGAAATTACCCAATACTAGCTAGGCCTAGGGCAAAATCTTGAAGAAAACAATTGAAATAGACACCTTCAACTTCACCTCACCTTCACTTCACCTCATTGTGCAAGTGTAACTCTCCATGACTTTCATTCCCAAGACCGGTCATCCTCACTCGACTCAGATTTTTTTCAAAATTTAGTCTCACTCTCATGGAGTCTCACTCTCAGTCGGACGTCTCGCGTCTGTCGGCGACAAATTGTCATTTTCACAATTGAAATTCCATTCTTAAATCTTAGATTAAATTTAACGAGTCATGCGATAAATCATGCAAATGGCTTTGGAGTACCTTATATCTATTCTTTACATTCTAGTATTTACAACTATCAAGATTAATTGGGACTGTTTTTTTTTGGGGGGGGGGGGGGGGGGCTGTGTCCCGGCTTCACGAACAACATCAACTGCTCACTGATATTAACACTACACTAATATTAGTATGTGGTACAGTACTGTATCTACCAGTGGAAGAATACATCGACATCTAGCTACCTTGTGTTTGCTTTTATTACCTGAATTATTTGGCTGAACTCCTCATATGCACGCTTTTTCAGATGGGCTGCCATTCTGTAATGAGAAATTCAATTAATCCAATTACAGTCAATAATTTCGTGGTGGAAATACAAGCTCGCTGTCCATTTCGGAAATTAAACCACGCCCTCTCATGGCAGAAATTATGTAACTTGCGGTAAAATTAAAATCAACGATAACGAATTTTATTGAAAAATCAAAATCACAGCAATATTCAAAAAAGGAAGGATAACTAGATCAAATTGTATTTCCAACAACAGGGAATTCGGAAAGGCTATGGCATCAACAGAGGATAAAGCTACCAAAGGCTCCCTGAAGAACGTGAGTTCGGATTTCCTGACCCCCGTGCATCCGGCGAAGAGAAGTCGAGTCTCGGTGGCTACCCCCGCCCGGAACTCTCCCGCTACCAAGCTTCAAATTCCCGCTTCTCCATTTATGAAGAAGCTTGGTTGGGGAACTGGCGTGTCAGTTTATTTGCTCGAAAGGTTTGTCACTTTCATTATTAAACATTTGTAGATTGTAGATCTAATCTACAAAGCTAATATAAAAAGAGTAGGCCTAAAAGACTAAAAAAAATGATGATGGATTGCTGATTTTTATGATGATGATCTCTCTCTCTGTTGTTGTTGTCCCGCTTTTCGGAGATCAGCGAGTAGAGTCTATACTCTATATAGCATTCGAAGTAGTAGGCTGCTGTAAATATGTTATAAAATCCTTAGTTGGAGGGTATGGAGTGCAGGCGATGGGCATGAATTTTGTAAAGATAGTGAAGTGTCATCTTTAAAATAGAATCATTGACAGTGGAGGGAAGGTATGGATCATATGGCAAGAGAATAGCGCAAGTCAGATGGGAAGGGTCCTGGTAGGCTGGTGTTGAGCAGTGGTGTATTTGGTGCAGAGTCGAGGACATTATGCAGGAGTCTACTGGCTCTGTCGATAAGGTCTTCCAGAAGGTTGACAGTAGTCGAGCAGGCAACCACAACGTGAACTACGGTATCCTCCTCAAGATTGCAGAGAGGACACTTTGTGTTGGTTGCTTTCTTAATCTTGGTAAGACGGGTTCGGGTGAGGTAGGTTGATGTGAGGAGCTGTGCTCTTATGGTCAGTGCCTGTCTGATTATTGTTGATGGTGGGTCATTGGGGTAGAATGAATGATGATGATGTAAATTGTAACTAAAAAACTGATTTAGCAGTGATTATGTCTACAGTACACTACAGATAGTACATGTATTAGAGATCTAAGTCATGTCATGCAATGAATGGGCCCATCCCACATTATAAGTTAACCGATTATTAGAAACTTCCCATTTGACTTGTTTTAGATCTAGATCTATCTCATCTGTCTTCCAAATTATTATTCTTTTTGTCGTTTGTTGTACTTGTGGGTCTGTTTCACATCCAATTCCAAATGATCTCTCCAGCCCAGTTACTGGCCCAATCAGTGTTCTCTTGCCAGTGTTGGTATATCTGAATCTGAAGTTCTGTGAGTCCTGTGACGTTCTGTCACTACATCATTGACTCTCTTAGACCAAAAGCTTCAGTCTCTCTAATCGTTGGTTGTTCCACTGAGACTACGTCTGGCTCCACTAGACCTCCGATTATAGAGACTGAAGTTCGTCCTATGAGGACTGGGCCCTGTGCATGTTGTCTTTGAACTTGGTTCGTTCGGTTAGCATCCTCCTATTAATGTTGACTTCTGTGGGTCTGTCAGAGGTAGGCCTACTGAAAATTTCGTAGCAAGTGGTAGACTACAATACAATCCTAATTCCTAAGACCTGACCACCACCACTATTTTTTATTTTGTTTTGTTCTTTTTTTCTCTGAAGGAGTCCAAGGCCTGACGGTAGTGGACGTTCACCATGGGCTGTCAAAAAAATCCGCAGCAAGTACAAAAAAGGCAGAGGAGATGTAGACGTAGAAGGAAGGCTTAAAAAGGAAGCAGTAATTCTTAAGGTACCTCTATCTTTATAATTCTAAGCAACTAGGAAAGGAGACTGAAATGCATTTGCTCCAAAATTGTAAAATGGAAACCTGGCAATGATGTAGTAATTACATGTATTATGTCAGGGCCTTTAGAAAGCCCCACTGCACTACTTATAGCTACTTGCGCCCTCTATAGCAAACTATTCCTAATCTGTGCCTGTTGGCCCCCATGATCCCCTTTTTCTTATGTTAATTGAGAGCTAATTTGATGAGATAACCATCTGTCACTGACCTTGCAGGGAGGTCTAATACCCCCTGGCCAAAGTAGTATAGACGAGCTTTGATACTGATATGGCTACCCTGTGTAAACAAGACCTAATTATTCAAAGCATTCGTTGTAATAAAAGTATTATGCTTTTTCAGAAAATGAGCCATGCTAACATCGTGGAGTTCCGAGCCCTTAGCAAGTCAGCTGATGGATCGCTGTGTCTGTCTATGGAAAATGGTCAACAGTCCTTGATGGGTATGATCGATAAACGCAAGGAAGCGGGAAAAGGTAAGAGTATGAAAGATGAACAAGTCTAGGATAGCTTTCATCTAAACTCATTTAAAAAAATTGGCAATTCAAGTTTGAGCATCGATATATCTCTGAAGAATTCAGTGTTGGACAAGAAGAATGCATTTTGCACTCTGTCCATCTCTCTCTCTCTCTCTCTCTCTCTTTTCCTCTCTCTCTCTGTCTGACTGTCTGAATTAGGGCCCTCGTTGATATTTTTGTATAAGTAAGCTTTGAAACATCACATTCTCAAGAAACATAAATCGGGACAAATCAATTTTTCACATATTTAAATAATTACAAAACTCAGTAAGGTTATGAATAGAATAGTTTAGTTTTAAACTGTATGTAGTGACAATTAATATTAGATGTGTAAGCAAGTCGTCATATGAATTTGACTTTTAGGTCCATTCCCGGCAGCCCAGATCTACCAAGTGGCCCTGTCCCTGGCCTCGGCCCTGAACTACCTTCACAACGACCTCAAGTACATCCACGGTGACCTCAAGAGTGGCAACGTCCTGGTCAAGGGCGACTTTGAGACGGTCAAGCTCTGCGATTTCGGAGTCGCACTCAAACTGACGGACGACTTGAACGGCCTGGAGGTACAGTCAACACTAGTCATAGTGGCGAGCTCTATATGAAGAGCTGAATTCCAAAAGGAGCTAAATCTACTTGATGAAAATTGAGTTATTGATATCAGAACATTGTCACTTAAGTACCCATCTTTCAACAAAATTATTTACCTAAATTTTGACAGCAATTATGAAAAAATGCACTTTCTAATATCACTTTTCCTTAGACGCCTGTACAAAATCTGGTAAACTATTTTTTTTCTCTGAAGTTACAAAAATGGATTTAGCTCTTTTTGGAAATAAACTCTTCATATGCAAAGGTCACTTTTGTTTCCTGAAATCAAATTAATAAAAATCTGTCCATCTATAGTGGTCCTTGGTGTATTGAAAGACCACCTGACTTGTCTATAATGGTCACATGTATTTTCTTTAGAATAAATTATGTAGTCGACAGCCTGTCTGCAATGGCACCTGTCTATTGTTTCCTGGGGAGTGTTTCACAAAGACTAAGAACTACTTTAAGTTGGACTTAACTATGGCAGGCTGTTCATGCCACTGTTTGCTCTCACCATTATGATCTTTAGATAATATTTTTTCCTTCAATAATGAATTAGCAAAAAATGTAAATTCTGTAGGTTTATTACAATGATTTGTACGTCCCTTGAAAGAACAATGCCAGTTAATGGTGAGAGCAAACAGTGGCATGAACGGCCTGCCATATTTAAGTCCAACTTAAAGTCGATCTTAGTCTTTGTGAAACACTACTCTGTTCTGATTGCTTTGAGTGGCCTTTATAGACAGGTTTGAGCTTGACTCCTCCCATTTGTGAGAATTTTTGTGCCATGGACATGGAACCCAAGGATTTGGATGTTGCACTGTAAATTTAGACTAGAAAACATCTAGGCAAACCGAACCAATCTAAGAAAACTAAATACGTGAATCATGAAAATCTATTTCAGATAGTTGCTGTTATATCCCACACCAAAATATTCATGTTTAGGCATCAATGTAGTTCAAGCTTTTGTGTATTTTCAGGAAAAATTATATTGTAAGTTAGTACATCAACCCCTCCTACTGCCCCCTCTCGGATAGAATTTGATCTGTACACCTATGATGTTTTTTAATTCAATGTATAAAACAATTAAGTGCATTCCAGGATTCATCAGATGTGCACCTTTTCTTTGCTAATCTGCGTTCCATTTCTTAATGAATGAGAGAAGGGCAGAATGTGAAGATCATAGAAGGAAGAGAAAGGAAGGAAGTACTGAATAGTGGCAGAAAATGGATAGAAGGAAAGAGTTTTGGAAGGTGAAAGGATTGAGGAAGACGGAATTGGAGAGTTCCCAAACCGTGTTATAGAACAAGATAACAGAATGTAGGCTTACCCGAATGTGAGCAAGAAGCTAGTTGTGAGAGATTGAAACACAACTCTGGAAGGTACATGTAGTAGCAAATTAATAGCGCTGGAAGGTAACTGGATATATGTCTAAAATGGAAAGGAATGGACAAAATGCAATTAATGCTGTTGTAAAAATGATGATGATGATAACGATAATAATAATAATATTAATAATAATAATGATATTAATAATAGTAATAATAATCATAATAATTGTACATTCATCCATTCTTCAGAACCCTACTGATGACTACGTCGGCTCTCAGCCATGGAATGCTATGGAGGTCCACATGGCCGGTGACATCACGCATAAGACGGACATGTTCTCATACGGTCTGGTCATCTGGGAGATGATGTCCCTAGAGGCCCCCCATCTTGATCTACTTTGTGAGTTTCTTTCCTTTCTTTAGTATTATACCCCGTGTCCACACACAACAGATTCATTGTATAACTATCCTAAAACGGTATAGTTATACCGTTTCGGGATATTTATACGATGAAATGGGTGTGCGTATGCTTACAAACGATACGTCGTATAACGAAACGTTGAATAACGAAACGCAGGTCTGGGCATCGTTTCGAACTAGAACTCGATAAAGAATCCAGGAATGTGTTGTGTGTGGACGTAACTAGTGTAACTGGTCGAACTAGAACGGTATAACTTGGCGGGGCTTAACGTGACCGCGAGCAAATTAACGAGACCTAACCTCTCATTTCCGGCTTTCGTTTCATGACCGCAGTAGCAAACTGCGAACAACAACGTTTCGCTGTAGAGTTTGGGGATTACTTTCTTGTGTGTCTCACAGTCTGGACGCCCTGGAATTTATACAATGATTCTTTATACAACGTTTCTTTATAGAGTTTCGGAATAAAAAAATTGTGTGTGGGCACGCTGGTATAGGATAGAAATGGACTCTCACAGAGAATTTGACACTGTTCTGGTGTTTACCCAATGTCAGTTGTTGTCAATAATCGGGATTAGCCTTCAGATTTATGATAAACAGGCCTTATGCTTTACATTTCAATCACCCATACAGTAAAGTCATGCTTTAACCTTTCCCTCACTTGAAGACTCTCCGAGAGATTATAGGGTATTTCTTGAAAGTCCTAGAAGCAGAAAAATTAGAGAACCAGATCAATGAAATTTTGATCGAAAACCGATTAAAATAATTTGAAATTTGTTTTGAGGGTGCAATCAATCCAAAAAAAAAGTTCAAAAGTCTTTATTTTCCATTCAGAAAATTTTCAATCATACATTCACCCTAAATGTTAATATTGCAAATATGTTTTATACAACCCCTGTATGAAACAAGGGTATTCCATCATCAATAAATAAGAAAATGAAAGTTTTTGTAAATGTATATACAGAGCAAGTTGGAGAGGAGCTTGCAAGATACGTCAGTGTTGCCACTGTGTGTTAACACAGATGACAACTTCGAAAATTCACAACTTTCATATTACTACTAATATGATTTTGCTCAAACTTTAACTGATTTATTTCTCTCATTTTTCTGCTTTTATTTAAAGCTTGATATCATGGTGGACTTCCCCTTTAAATAGATGGGTGTAGTAAGTACACAGGGGTTCTAGAGAAAAACATGCATAACTTGAAATTCATAAGTAAGTAAACAGGTCTATAAATACGGTAGTGTTTTTAGCTCATCCGGCCTGAAGGGCCTGATGAGCTTATGCCATGGCGTGGCGTCCGTCCGTCCGTCCTTCCGTCCTTTCTTCCGTCCTTCCATCCGTCCATCCACAGATTTTAAAATGCTTCTTCTTCGTTATTTTTCAACCGATTTTGATTCTGATTGTTTCTTATGATAGGGCTAGGAGGGGGATTTAAAACTTCTACACAGAATCGTGAAATTCATTATCTATGCTAATTTATGCAAATTTATTCGAAATCACAAAAAATGCTTCTCCTTCTTTTTCATTTCTCGACCGATTTTGATTGGGTTTGCTTTATCTGGTAGAGCTAACTTTGGTACACTAAACTTCTACACAGAATGTTGAGATTTTGCTCAATTGATTAATTATGGTAATTTATGCAAATTTATTCCAAAAATAATTAAAAAATCACAAAATATGCTTCTTCTCCTTCATATTTCGACTATTTTGATTTGATTTGCCTTATATCATAGAGCTAACTTTGGTACACTAAACCTCTACGCAGAATTTTGAAATTTTCTCCATTAATTAATTATGGTAATTTATGCAAATTTATTCCAGAAAAAAACAAAAATTGCTTCTTCTCCCTCATTTCTTGACCGATTTTGATTTGGTTTGCTTTATCTGATAGAGCTAAATTTGGTTTACTAAATTTCTACACAGAATTTTGAGATTTTGCTCCATTGATTAATTATGGTAATTTATGCAAATTTATTCTAAAAATAATTTAAAAATCACAAAAAAATAAAATTAAACCAGTTCAAAAGTGTACCACATAAAATTTACGATATTTGTTGTTGCGAGATACGGATGAGCGCTACGTCATTGACGTTCTGTTTTGTTTTGTTTTTTAGTTAGTGGAGATGACAGCGAGTATGACGACGATGAGACAAGCTTTGACGAGTCTGAGTTTGAGGCAGCATTGGGAACCAGACCCCCGCTACCCAAAGAGAACCTAGGACCCGCGTACCAGTTCCTCATTGAACTCTTCTGTGCCTGTACCATCGAAGACCCCACCCAGAGGCCTAGTGCTAAGATGACTCTCGCTGCCCTGGAAGATGTGATGCTCTAGACTAGAGATTAGCCAACTATTCCTATGTTGGAGGAATGGTCCCTATTTCAGGGCCTTCAGACTAGTGTTAAGAACCCTGGAGTTTCTCTCTCTTGATTAAAAACGTCTGCATTAAAGTCTATTAAAGCGGGAACTGCACTACTTGTGGCTACTTGCGCCCTCTTTTGGCACCTGAATATCTTAATGACACCCTCCAAATATATACACCAAGTCGTAATCTCCGTTCAGCGACCGACACATGTAAACTTAACATTCCCAAATCTAGACTCTCAGCAGCTTAAAGTCACTGAGTAGTCGGCTCTCATGGGGAATTCGACACCGTTCGGGTGTTTACCCAATAACAGGTGTTGTCAATCACCAGGGTTAGCCTTGAGTTTTATGACCACTGGACCTTATGTAATGCTTTGATTTGCCGAAGACTCTCGAGCTCTCCCAGAGATTGGGGGTAATTCTTGACTGGACTATGGGTTTGCTGTGTGCAAAAATTGTACCCCCATTAATGGTATTTCCACCAAGTCTGGTGTCAGCGAATTATGGCCTTCTGCACATGGAAACTGGCGATCCACTCCCTTAAGAACGCTTTGCAGTAGCTGCATCAAAGACTTGGAACAGCATCCCTCTTTCCTTAAGGGAAATTTACCTGTCTTGCCACCTTCAAAAGATCCCTCAAAACTCACCTTTTCCCCAATGATCTATGTGATATATTCCTGTACTGTACATTTTTGTCCTCTTATCATATATTTGTATTGTAAGCGCTATGGTACTTATTGATTTTAGCGCTCCTAAATATTCGATATTATTATTATTATTATATAGCCAACAATGCCAAAGTGGTACCCTTTGATCCCCCATGGTCCCCTTTTTCTTATGTTAACTGAGAGCTGATTTGATGAGATAACCACCTGTCAGTGACCACGTAGAGAGGTCTAATACCTCCTGGCCAAACTAGTGCAGATAGGCTTTAAATATACTGCATTTCAAGTATAACTGATATAAGAATATTAATTTGGTCTTATTTACCCAGGGTGGCTACACGATCAGTATTACTACTGCCCTTCATGCAGGCCCTGCAATCATTATTACCCCAGCAATTGCAAGGTACCTGTTTAGTCCTGGGTGGAGAGTGGCAAATGTGGATTGATGTCTTGCCAAAGGACATTGGTGCCGGGTAGTGTTTTGAACCCTCGACCCTAGGATTGAGAGTCAAGTGAATGAACCACTGTACCATGACACCTCCACTCCTAATCTTGCCTTGAGAAATTCCTTTTATTCTTGTTTCTGAGAAGGGTTGGCAGGTTAGGAATATAGCGATTCTGGGATTCGTGTACTGGGTGACAGAAAATTGTGTTTCACAAAACTTGTCATCAATGACAAATTACATTGTTTTGTTATAAACTAGTGAAATCCTTGCTCCTGATTGGTTATCAGCAGATTTTTTTTTTTCACTGATTTTTGTCATTTGTCATTGAAAAAAAAGGCTTTGTGAAACACTCCTCAGGTCAGTGATTGTTTAGCAAAATCTGATTAAAAAGAAGAAGGTTATACATTTTCAAAATTGCGATCAGTCATCAAATGCAAATTGACAACTTTGTGACTTGTCTTGCCAGGTTCCCTCCCATTTGCTCTGAACTTAAACAAATCAGAAATGCCATTTTTTTTGCTTGAAAGATAATTTCCAACTATACATGCACCTTGAATATCACTATTGCAAATATTTTTGTATACAACCCCTGTATAAGACATATGCCTCATAAAAGTCTATGTGATTTCCTGTACAGAGGAACTTGAATTGGAGAAGACATCACAAGCTGAGTTATGTCACAGTGTTGCCGATTTGTGTTTCATCGTTGACAACTTAAAAAATTCATAACTTTCCCATTTCTAATTGGATTTCGCTCACACTGTCACTAATTTGTTTCTCTCATATTTCTGCTTTTTTTTTTTTTATTAATACCAGCTTATTATCAGGGTAGACTTTCCCTTTAAATGCCCAACCTGTGTTTGGATATTGTTTATTTGTTAATTCCAAGTCAAAAACAATACAATTGATAATGTAGGTAAATCACTGATATGCATGTACATGCAGATGAAAGCTTAAAGTAGTTTTGTATACATTCGTTATGACTGTAGGTGCTAGGAGTGCTTTACACATTCTTTTGCAAAAATGTAAATATGTAGATTATGAATAGACTGTATATATATCTTTACTTTTAAAACTATAATTATTATGATGTTTTATCCATCCATTGATTATACACATCCTTTGAAGTGTATGACTCTAATCATATGCAAAGAGGTGGGTACACCTATTGAAATATCTAGCTTTGACAAAATTAAACAATTTTGCAGAATAGCTTAGTTACCCTTTGTATTTTGTTTGTCTTCTGGATTACTGAACATGATCACAACTGATTTTGAATAATCAAACTTGGGCAATTTAATGACCTAATATGTCACCTTGTGCCGAACATTACAATAACATACAATGTATTATGTAAGCCTAACATTATTTCTGTGGGGCATAATGAAAATACTATGGATTTATATAGCACTTAATACGGTAGACCATCTATCAGCGCTTTACAGATATTATTACCCCAGTCATCAGATTTATTCACGTAGAAGTGCACCATCTCCACTTCATGGTCAGTATAGGCTATTCCTATCGTATGGTCGACATGTGGCAATTACCAACACGAAGGCTTTCTTCATCCTACCAGGTCCCCATTTTTCTCCTGGGTATGGAGTGGCAAATGTAGATTAATGCCTTCCCAAAGGAAATTAGTGCTGTGTCGGGGTTAGAACCCAAGACCTTTGCATTTCAAGTCTAGTACTTAACCACTCGGCTACAACACCTCTAACAATAGTGGAGTCTTGTCTATAGCGCTCATATGGCTGACTCATCCACTCCATGCAGGCACTCTGTTATTACCCTGTTTTTCGCACAGCTGCCATCACAGCTACTGCTCAAGCATTTTAAGAAGTTAGTTCCTGCCAGGTACCCATTTACCGCACCTCGGTTTCACATTACGTGACAAGCTGTGGAGCAAACACACCTTTGGATCTGTAAGAGCTATCTAATATAACAAGGAATTTCCATAATTTTTTTGTTTTGTTTTTCCACCCTGATAATTATAACGAGCTTTTAGTATAACAAGACAATTGTATTGGTCCGAAGGGTTTTGTTGTGAGATAGATTGCGAGTGAGAGAGAGTGTGTGTGTGTGTGTGGGGGGGGGGGGGTTGAGAATAAAGAGAAGGGAGGGGGAGACTGAAGAGAGAGAGAGAGATGGGAGCTGACAGGTCGAGGGAAGGAGATAGTGTGCATTTTGTGGTGGTTAAGGATAGAAGAATGAGAAGAGGAAAAAATGTGACGATCATCGAAGGAGAGAAAGGAAGGGAGTACTGAATAGTGGTAGAAAACAGATCACAAACGTACTTAATCCATTTTTATTGGAAGCATGTTGTTTCGGAGTCCCTGGCTTTAAGTTTTTTTATTTGTATTATTCTGGTTGTCAGATTTCCAGGGCACGTACTTCAGGAAGCGCATTCAAATTTCGCAATCTCCTCCACTCATGAACATAACAGGAAGCAACATTTCGCAATCCCATCTGGCAAATGATTGGACTCTTCTCTCTCTCTCTCTCTCTCTCTCTCTCTCTCCCTCCCTCCCTCTCTCTCTCTCTATCTCTCTCTCTCTATCTCTCTCTCTATCTCTCTCTCTCTCTCTCTCTCCCTCTCTCAATTTCCCCACACCCTTTACCCCCTTCTCGTGTATATATAGGGATGATTAACTGCGTATTGAAATCAGAATGCTGAGGCTCCCAGCTCGGTTTCAAGTTCATGCATGGACGTCTTGTTCTGAATCATTAGAAACCTGCCATACAGTATATTTTCCTGTTTTCCTGAGGACTTTCTTCAATTTGATTCCTTACATACATGTAGAACTGATGCTAGCATACAGAACAGTCACAGTCGAGTGACATTTGACGCACAGTCTCGTGGAATGACAGTGAGCAAGATTTTGCAAGGAGAGCTTACTCATGTGTGGAATATTCAGAATTAATAATTATGTAACCACGGAGCCCTGCTGAAATGAAGAAAACGTGAGTATTGGCCAAAAATGATGACCATAATTCGATCCATATAACAATTTTCTGATTTTGTCATATTCTGAAACTTCATACTTTTTTTTTCATTCATATCCTTAAAAAAATCAACATGAAAAAATTAAGAGAAAGCCATAGTATTAGCGGTTTTGTTAATTAGAGCAATCTTTTCTGGCATGACCTTGAACAAAGAATCTAAGACAATTTAATTTTTTTTATGTCAATTAAATTAATTACTTTTGTTGTTCATTGTACAAATACAAACATTTTAATGGAAATATCAATTGTTGACAGTTTGAGAGAACTTTGAGGGGGGGGGGGTAAGCTTGTGTTGTTGTTGTTTGGTATTATCGGCGTTTCATTCTTTTTTGGAGTAAAAAAAAAATCGCAACGGCTCAGCCAGCCGAAAAGTCGCTCAGTGGGGGGGGGGGGGGGGAGCTTGTTGTTGTTGTTTGGTATTATCGGCGTTTCATTTTTTTTAAGAATAATTATTTACGCTTTTCACTTTTCTTTTTTTTTTTTTTTTTTTTTTGGTACTATTTGTAAATTCATACTCTTCTCTTTTTTTTGTGGATAATATGATCTCAGATCTACTGGTCCATGAAAACCCCTCACCGCAATTGGCACCTTCCTGCCAGACCGGCGCGGTACATTGCGCAATCTTCTCGGCCATCATTGGCCTAGGCAACTCTGGTGCCGGTGAGAGGATTCTGGGGTAGATCACCAGAGTCTCTTGTTTGGGGTTAACCGTCCTCAATCCGTCTTCACTATTTCTTACATTTTCTCTTCTAGTATTTTTCCATTTTGTAAAACTTATTTTTTTATCAAAGTAGGTTTTAACATCTTAGGGCATTTGGTTGTCGCGCGATATGTGCAAAAAAAAAGAAAGAAAAAAGCGGACACTTTTTTTAATTTTTATTGGAGTCCAAAAAAAATCGCAAGACTCAGCCAGCAGAAAAGTCGCTCAGTCACTCAGGGGGGGGGGGGGGGGGGGTCTCGAAATTTGAAAATTTGACATTTTGTTCCGGTAGGGGAAGGGTAAGGTCATCTTTTTTAGGTCAGCCATTGCCATAATTTTTTTTTTTTTTTTTAATTAAAAAAAAAATATATATCAAAAGGGGGGGGGGGGGGGGTCCACAAAAAACATACACACAAAAAAACTCAAAGGGGGTGGGGGGGGGGGGGGGTTTAACCACGAAACCATCCCCTGCGTACGCGCCTGGGGATGTCTGATTATGTTCAAACCTTGCATGTTTGTTGATGAAATGTGTCTCTAGGAGGTGATCCATATAGAATTCCATTGAATGTTTTAATTTTCTCATAATAATGTCATGAATAGATAATTAGCTCCGAAACAATACAAAACAAAATAAATTAAATCATAAAAATGATGATATTTCACGCCCTAGAGATAGATTAGGAGAACATCTGTGGCAAAAAATCAGCTTTCTAGTGTGAATGGTATTCAGTAGAGCTTAAGATTTGAAAATACTGGCTAATTTGCATAATGTAATGTTAATTAGCGTTTTACGGTGACAATTTTTACAATCATAATCGTCCTTGATATATAACCTTTCCATTTATATATGGTTTTGTATGGCTATTTTTGCAACTTCCTTTGGAAATTGGTCAAATATGAGAATACTATCAGTTCCCTGTAACCCCCCCCCCCCTGCACTTAAAAAAAAATAGGAAAAAAAAATCATAAATCAGCCCCTATATAGGTAAAACTGATATTTCTCTATGACTTCAACAAACATAACCGCAATGGAGATAATAAACATGTGGATCTCCCCTAGCGATTTTTGATTTTCGAAATTCACTAAGTTCAATTTCTTCATCAGAATTTTAAAACTTTCACTTGTCTTTCACAGGGGAATTGGCTCGAGGAAAAAAAAACTTTAAAAATAATACAATGGGCCTGAAATTCGCAGACAGAAAAAAAAGTGCTCGTACTGTGAGTAACAATAATAATAATGATAAATGGGTTTTTCTTAAATTATATTTATACGTCTTTGGTTTTTGTATAGCGCACATTCATGTTTGTCAAACCAAAGCTTTACACTCCTTGCGCTCAACGATTACATTACACCGGCTCATGGACGTCAATCCAAATTAGACCGTGGAGGGGACTCAAGTTCAGACAGGGCGACGCCAAGTTATTTTGTTAGGGGGGCGAATGGGCGCGCCACGCAGGGGGGGGGGGGGTGTCTGAGGGGATGTGCCCCCTCAGAAGTTGAAGATTTTTTTTTTTTTTAATTGATGCTTAAATGGCTCGCTTTGGTGCATACTTTTTGCCAAATTAAAAAGAAAACAGTCTTAAGTTCTATTAACGAGAAACAAAAACGCAGGGGGGGGGGGGGGTCTGAGGGGGATCTGCCCCCCTAAGAAGTTGAAGATGTTTTTGAAATTGATGGATAGATGGCTCGATTCGGTGCATACTTTTTGCCAAATTAAAAGAAAACAGTAGAACGCAGGGGGTGTGCCCCCCTCAGAAGTTGAAGATTTGTTTTGAAATTGTTGGATAGATGGCTTGATCTGGGGCATAATGTTTAGTCTTAAGTTCAACTAACAGGAACAAGAACGCAAGGGGGGGGGGGTAGATAGATGAATTTGTCGTTTCCATAGAACAATCAGCCATAAGGTTTTAAAGATACAAGGGATTAATTCGATTTTTTTTTCAGTTAGTGAAAGGATTTTCATCGTAAACCAATGTTTGAACTTCCGGTAATGTGAATGTAATATTAATGACGCTTCTATTATTAAAATCTAATCGCCTGATTTGGCTTGATTTTTCTCAACAAAGAGAGAAAGAGAGAAAAAAAAGGGAAAAAAAAAAGAAGATTTTAACCCCAAATCATGGGGGGGGGGGACATTTTACCACCTGAAAATTCGTGGGGGGACGTGTCCCCCCGTCCCCCCCCCCCCCCCCCCCCCCCCCCAGGATTGACGCCCATGCACCGGCTTTTGCGTGGCTGCCATTATGGCGATCTAGCATTTCAAGGAAACTATTTTTATTTGTGTGATGCAGTTACCCATTTATTCATAGATTAATGTCTTGTCAAACGACCTTCACGTTTAATTGACCTTGTTTTTAAATTTCAGATGTTTAGGACCTAGCCGTTGACTCAAATGTGAATGGTTGTATGAGTTCCTTGGGAATTTTCGTCTGAAGTCATCGTTGAAAATCATCTCGAGACGTTATCTGGTGATCGAGAGAGGAACACCATTGAAGAAACGACATGTAACGCCACCAAAAGACATGGCAACCTTGGCTACACAAGTTCACCACCGATTGAACTGACTCTGCAGGTATTTCACATTCTGCTAACAATTTGAAAGTGAGCGATACCAAGTTTGACACATTTTCTAGCTATGTATGTTGACTCTTATAGGGTGCAGTAGTACTGGATAGCTATTTCTTTCGTATGATAACAGTTAATAGGTTCGATAATAATTTGCAAGTCAATATTATGTTTTATCTTGAAATTGCTCTTGTAAACGTAAGAAGAAGAAGGGAACCAAAAGAAAATCCGCATTCTCAAAAATTAAACCTATACTGCTCGATAGCCTCGATTGCATATCACCGATCTTGCAAAACTTCTGAACTTCGGGGATCGTCGTAAGCTCAGAAGTTTTGCCCCTCGATTTTAAGACAAGGGCCTGGGCCACTTCGCAGCCACTTCTTCGAGGCTTTTACATTCCAGCAGTTGAATTGTCAATGATAACCAATAAAGAAATATGGCATCTGCAGATCCAAATATGTTTGCGCTGCTTCGTGAAGATGTGAAGTGCGCCATCTGTCTAGAACAGCTCACAAAGCCACGTTTGCTCATATGTGTTCACAGTTTCTGTGAGAAGTGCCTGGAGACATATTATAAAGAAAAACAGTCTAGCGTTGGAAAGATCGCATGTCCGATATGTGACGAAGAGACCATTCTAAGCGACGCGGGAATATTAGGCCTTAGGCATGACTTTCGCGCCATGACACTGATGAAACGACTGGAGAAAGAGAAGCCAAAGCAACAGCAGAAGACGGAGAGAGTGATTAACAAACTTTGTGAGGTTTGCGGTAACATTGATTCAGATTCGGCATCACCCTTCTTCAACTGCACCGAGTGCAAGATAGCTTTATGCATGGCATGTAGTAAGAAGCATCACCACCCCTGTAGTGCAGACACCTCAAGCAGAACCAATGTCGCCGAGATGAATCTGGAGAAGGATGATGATGCAAATGGGACGATCCTTTGTGAGAAACATGGAGGGAAGAAGAAAGAGTTGTTTTGTACATTTTGTCTCTTTCCGGTCTGTCAGGTGTGTTCTATCTATGACCATCGTCTTCAGGAAAACCATAAGTGTGTCAAGGTTGAAGATTTTGTCCCGATGATGCGAGAGGAAATACAATCACGAATGTCAAGACTGGATCAAGTGGGCGAACAATGTGCGGCCATTATTTCCATGATTGAGGAAGCCGAGAACCTGACCAAGAAACAGAAAGATGTCCTTGATAAGCAGATTGAAGACTATATTGATGAATACACCCATTGTGTGAAAACGGATCTGAAAGTTAAGAATGAAAAATTCTTCGAATTACGGAATCAAACACTGAATCAATGGCAGAAGATAATAGAAGATCGTACAAAAATCATAGAGACAATTCAGTTGAAGGTGTATGAGACGCTAGATCAGAATGAGAACCACAGTCTAATTGCTATCTTATATAACGGTCTTCTGAAATCCCTTGACAGCCTTCTCTCGAAAGCGCCAGAGAAATATATTCGCAAAACGATCAAGAAAGTCATGGACGAAAGACAGCTTCATTTCAGATTGACGGACAACGAGTCTGTAATTGAAGCTAATTTGTTCACCAACCGTACGGTACATGAGAGAAAGAGCATCGACATAGTGTTGCCGGAGCAGCCTTATTGCAATGACCTGAAGGCCGTGACATTTACTCGTGATGGGAGAGTAGCTATTTTAAAAGTAGTAAACCAATCTGAAATTTATTACCCTATTGACATAATACAAACTACAGCTTCCTCAAAAGTGGCTACTAAATTTGGCATAGAGACAATAACCGAGGACGCCACTACGTCTGTATCGGCTTTTGCATCGCTCTCAGACCTGAGGTTCGTGTTGGATAAATATGAAGACTGTCGTAAAGTCCATGGAGATGTATTCCATGTCAGGGAATTACCTGGACGCATATCGGACATGGCTACGGACCTCAAAGATAACATTTACTGCAGTGTTCCAAGCTGCAAAAAGATATATGTCGTACGTAGTGATGGGCCCCAAACCAAGTCGATCCCAACAGGCAACCTTGCGCCAAAACGCATTGCAATTTGTCCACGGAGTCCGAACCAGATCATATTCACCCACGGCTCAACTAAGGTCTCAGTCGTTGACTGGAGTGGAAAGCTTCTGAAGACCATCACCCGTCCTGAATGGAAAGAAGTTGCCATCGGATGCGACAACAACAATATACTCTATGTCCTCTGGAAGAACGAGGCAAAGTTGATAACTTTGCAAAGGTTCTATTTGAATGGAGACCCACTGGATACCCTCTTGCAAGGAGAAGCGCATAGTTGTTCCAGGCTTCTCTTAGCGGTATCACCCAGTGGAACTGCAGCTGTTGTCACCGGCGCGGGCAGTAACTGCAAGGTGACGCTGATTTCGACTATGCGAGAATTCACAGGCGACGAAAGCTCCTTGCCTAAATAATTAGGTACATCATTTAAGACATGAAGGCCTACACTCGACTGCTGCCATGTGAATTACATAGGCTTATACACTGGGCGCGATGGAATTACCAATATTGTTTGTGCAAAGCTCGCACGGAATGGAATGATTGACCCTGAAGAAGCACATTACATTCATGTGCAGATTGACTTAACAAAATAAACAATATTGTACCATGGAAATGCAGTAATGGTGTATTAAAGTGTTACAAGCGAGAACAAAATGTTTAAACAAAACTTTCCTGGCACCCTAGCTCCGTGAAACACAAATACCATATTACTTATATGATGTTGAAAAGAAGATATTTCAGAGTTATGCGAAATGAATGTTGTAAATGTGAATATTTGGGTTATCACAACAATTTTAATCAATTGAATTATGTTAATTATTTTTTAAGATTTCACTATCGTGTCTCCATAACTTGTGCCTACGGTGGTCTTTAAGCTTTGTTATTGGTATGGACTGTTGCGATTGATTTGGGACGATGTGGAAAATTATGACAGTAGTTTTAAATGAAAATCTACGCAATATACATTCATGTACGTACTTAATCAACCTATCGTAATCACACAATGTCAGTAATATACATTCATATTCCTAGACATAGAACAGTCTCGTTTCAAAAATACATGTTTTACAGTACTGGTCCTAACCTCTGGAATAATGATGAAAGGATATGTTATAACGTGCACTTCACCTCTTGCATTTACTCGTGTCATGAAAATATAATGTGTGTACAATACATTTCTTAGCCCCGATATACTTGATAATGCTATGATAAGTGTTAGTGCTAATATGAATGATTTTTAGGACATTTAATATTCGATTGGAATACTTAATATTGTTTGAGGCTGTTGGTCGATGTATATTTGCCTTGGTTTTCAGTTTTCCTGTACATGTGAGTGTCTTTCAGTAAAAAGATAAGCCTATCTGTGCTTAACAAGGCTAGACGAAACGTTCTTGGTATACGTAAAGAAACGCACAATAGACACAGTCTTCAGGACATTGTGCAAGTTACCTTTTGAGAATGTTGTGTGCTAAGTGGAATATTGATAACTTACATATTGACGTAGACATATTGGGTGGTATTCTCATAAGTTAAGCCGGGTCTAAGTCCAGACTAAACAAGAATTTTAGTTCACACTTCTATGGAATTCTAGGTTTCATCTTCCTCCTTCAATATTCATGACAAAGATAATCTACCAAAGACTTTGTTGAAATTCAGTTCATACTCATATTATCTTTTTCTTCCCATTTCATTGCAAAATTAATTTTTGGACACTTTTCATTGAAGGATTAAAATAATCTGTAGAGGGTAAATGAGTTTGCAACAGGCACTCCATAAAAGTGTGAACTAACTAAGTACGCGCTAACTTAGTATACGCTACCGGAATACCACCCATTGGGTCTGTAGGTGCTTTTAAAAAAAAAATTAATTTTTAATCAACGAAATATTTTATGCTGATGTTTTTGTTTCAGGAGATAAAAAGAAGGTTATTAGTCAACAGTAAAAATAAAAACAACAATTATAATATAGCGATGAAACATTTATGCTGCTTCTCCTATATACTACTACTACTACTATACTACTACTGCTATACTACTATACTTCTACTTCCACTACTACTAATGATAAAGGTGATAATTATCATAACAATACAAATAATATTATTCATTTTAGATTAGATTAAAGTGTACATATCTGCCTTTCATGGCACCAACAATCAGGGAATTCCATTAATGCAAATGTTACATAATTAAAACCAACAAAACTAACATAGGAACAAATATGCCTTATATGCTTTATATAATAGATGATAATTGGATAGTGGAGAACATGTGAAAAGTAATTATATTTTTGTATTGTTGTTAACGTTATAATACATGGTTAGTGGTTGGTTTGTAATACCAACACGTTGAGAAGAAACCAAACAGCAACAATCAAACCAGAAATTGAAATAACAGGCTATTGATTCCAAATATTTGTTCTAATGTTCTAATGTTTGCGATTTAGTACATATGGACTACTTTTCCCGATACTATTAAATATATTTATAATGATTATGTTAAAGGTAAAGACCAGTATTGGAAACGCCCCAATTTCAAAAAAAATGAAAAGGAAGCTCTTATTAACAATCATGTGAAAGAATATGTTTTGAATAATACATGATGATAAAAACGTTGACGGGAAACCGCCTACTAATTGATATACTTGGTAAATTAGGGTATCTCTTGCCTGTTGAGAGATACAAATGCACGTGTCGCGCACGTGTGTGTAGTCCCATATACATCTTTCTGTGTACAGTGATTCTAACTTTATGAAGACTTGGCCAAATTTCTTATCATTTTGATGATTCCAGAACCTTGCAGTACATCTATGCTAGATGATCAACCTTTTCTGATCGATTTCACAATGTTTCTTTCACAACGCAATCGCATGACCATAACTGGTTTATAGCTTTAAGTATGTAAATTCATTAATATAAAACATTTTGATCATTATTCATTTTGCTGTTGCATGTCAGTGTGTATAAAAGGGAGACGACCCCATTCATAATATGACGTATATGCATCGTTATTCATCATATTTTTGAAGTACATGAACATTCTATTCTATAAATATTATTTTTCCTTTCCCTTTCTTCGTCTCTTCGTCTCTTTGGTTCTTTTTATTAATACTACAATCATGAAGAAGGCGTACCTGACACAGGTTTATGCTTATTTGGATTTGCGCCTTCTTTCTTGTGTTAAAATTGTTAATATGCCCTTGAAAATGATACGTCAATAATATGTATACATTATTACCTGAGACTTTTGTTAAAATAAAGCAAGAAGAAATAGGAGGAAATATTGATTATTTAAATATTTTTGTTATGATCTTTGGTATTGTACTCATCATGCTTATTGGACGAAATAATGATTACATGAGACTTCTTTGCAAGTTCCGGAGGTTGTTGATTTCGAAGGTCCGGTGGTGAATAATTCCAAAGGTTCTCCGTTCCGCAAATGGCATAGATCCTTATGCCTTTTCTTCTCATTTTCCGGAATAACGAACCCTATTTGACTTTTGAAACTATGAAGCTTATTCGTTACGAACGCCCCCCCCCCTCCATTTTGGGAAATTCTTGTTTCGTATTTATGAGCTTATTAGGAATTATGGACCTTAGGATAATCGAACTTTCGAGAAAATGAGTGTCTTCCAAAATTATGCATGCCAGTATATATAGAAAACTTTTTTTTTTAAACCCAACTTAATCGACCATGTGATATTCTCCTATTTGTAAAAATTAAATATGGATAATAAATTAATGCTTACAGGAACAGCAATACGCATATGACATCATTATTCATTTCATTTACTTGAAAAATGTCAGTGATATTTAATTACAAGGGATCGTCGATAAAAGGGGTCCACAATTTACAAGCTCTGCTTTTCAGTGGGCTTCTCCATTTCCTCAAAATATAAATGCAGTTAAATTTAAAAATTCAATTTTTGTCTTCCTCAAATGTATAAATTACTATTAAGATTGTTTTTTTTTACAAATATAACTATGTTTTATATACATTTTATATTATATTCGTTATTATGTATTGTATTTTGTTGGAAATGAAAAAAAAAATGAAATAAAAGACATTGAACTTTGTGTAGTTTTATAACCTTGTGTATTACACGTAATTTTGACGAACTATTTAAAAACGGTTATACATATAAAATTGTAAAAATTCTTCATTAAGCGTAAATGATATATACGCGACGAACGTTGGGAGAGTCTATATAATATCTATGAGAGAAATACATACGTATGAATAGGCTTAACATTCTTTGCGCAAGCCTACCCACCCCTCCGCCCATTATGCACACACACACAAGCTCGCACATACACGCACTCACACGTACACAAAAAGACACATGCAATATTTTATTACTACACTTTGGTCACGAAAGAGGGAGGGAAAAGAACAAAATGATAAGAAAGAAAGAGAGAGAGAGAGAAAGGGGAGAGAAGAACAGAAAGAGAGACAGAGAGAGTGAAGTAAAAGGGAGAGATAGACAAGGACACAGAGCGAGAGAGAAAACAGAAAACGGAATCATAGCTGCGGTATCAGAAAAGTAATCGGGTAAAGTTTGCAGATAAGTAATTCATTCCATGTATTTGGCAAGAAGATTCTTTAACCTAGTTCAACATCAGGTGTACAATATCTCAAGTCGTTTGAAGAGAATTCCATATTCAAGCCCCAACCCATTTAAAGGTTGTACGACTTTGCTCCGGTAACAATTGGTCCGAGGTCAATAACGGGAATCCAGCCGTTATAGTAAACTACTTTAGACTAGAGGAAAGCAAAAAAAATCAGAGAAGGAGACTGTTGAAAGTTTAAAGGAATTCGGGAAAAATGAGAAAGTTATACATTTCAAAAGTTGTAATCACTATGGGTATGGGTTCTTCATACTGGCTAAATCGTGTGCTTCGTGTGGTTGACTTATAACCTTACAATCGCGTGGTAAATTGGGTCCAAAGTTTCAACAAATGACTTGTTGTACATGCAGGCGCGGATCCAGGATTTCTTAGGGGAGGGGGCCCAACTTTTTTTTTTTTTTGCTCCCGAAAATTTGAAAATCGCGCCGGCCGATAAGTCGCTTAGGGGGGGGGGGGGGGGGGGGGGGGGGGGGGTACAGAGCACAATTTTTTTTTTTTTTTTGGCTCCCTAAAATTTGAAAAAAACGCGCCGGCCAAAAATTCGCTCAGTTGGGGGGGGGGGGGGGGGGGGGGGGGGGGGGGGGGGGTAGTGAGCACATTTTTTTTTTTTGGATCCTCAAAAAAATTTCAATTTGCACCCCCCCCCCCTTGAGCGCCAGGGGGGGGGGGCCCAACCCCCCAAAATCGTAAAAATCACGTGATTTTACATGATTTTTTTCTCAAGGGGGGGGGGGGGCCCGGGCCCCCCGGGCCCCCCCCCCCCCCTGGATCCGCCACTGTGTACAT